TGCGATTTCATCCACGAACTAGGAAGAGAAGAACCGAATCGGAGAAACAGAAAGCCACAGAGAACCGTCTGGGCAAACCATCCCGGCTGCGGGCATCTCTGATGCATCTTTCATTGGCACTGATCCTCTTCCTGCTCTTCCTCCTCCTCCCCCTCCTTCCTCCTCCTCCCACTCCTCCTCCTCCTCGAGCGTAGTTGCGGGCCCCGAATTTGCCATCAGCTCGACGCCGGCCGAGCGACCTGGTGGTGGACCAGCCATAGGATTCTCGCACACGGCCTCGCGCTGGCGGGGCTCTGGCCGTTCAAATCTCGTCATACAAGGCACGTGCACACACAACCGCTTGCAGGGCGTCAGGGGCGAGCGGTGCTGGCACGCGCTCCTCGAAGAAGCTGTCGAGCGACGGCGACCTCTCCACCTCCGAGCGCGCGAAGAGGCGGCTGTGAGTGGCGGCGGCTCCCTCCCTCCTCACTCCCCCCTTTCACTGTACCTCAAATTCTCTCTCTCTCTCTCTCGCTCTCTGTCTCTCTCTTTCTGTCCAAAATGAACAAGAACTGCTGTTGGGCATTTTGTCCATTCTTTCCGTACCCATTTCGGGCGTCCAGAACATACATGCATGCATGCATACATACATACATATATACGTACGTACATACATACATACATACATACATGCATGCATGCACGAATGCATGCAAACACACACCCACACATGCATGCATGCATACCTCCATACCTACATACCTACATGCCTGCACGTCTACATGTCTACATGTCTGCATACCTACATACATACATATATATATATATATATATACACCTACCTACCGGCATCCTTCCATCCAACTCCATCTATACATACATAGATACCGGCAGACAGGCGTACAGACATCCATACATTACATGCATGCATGTATACATATAGACATGCCTCCCCTACCCCCCCTGCCTACCCATCTATCAATCTGCCCACTTGCATACATACATGCATGCAGACATACATACATGCATGCATGCAATCATACATGAATACATACATACAACCATACATACATACATACATGCATGCATGCATGCATACATACATACATAGATGCATGCACGCATGCATACCTGCATACATACATAAATGCATGCATCTTTGCATACATACATACAAGCAAACAAATAAACAAACACTTAGACATACATACACATGTACATTCACACATACATGCATACACCTGTATGTATACATGCATGCATGCATACATACATACACACGTATATACATGCATGCATACATGCACATACGTGTTTACATCTAGATGTGTATCTAGATCATCTTCGCATGCGTTTACAGACCCTGGGGCGGGAACACCTCCCCTCCCCCCCCCCCCCCAAAAAAAAACAAAAAACATACCCCAAGGATCCGGGGCTTTGGGGCCCCCGGACGCCTTTGGAAGAGGTCCTCCAGCCCTGCCGCGCCTTCCAGGGCGCCATGCCGGGCCTTGCCCAGCACACCCACAGCGATCAGAGAAGAGGGTCGAAGAGGCGCAGGAGAGCCCCAAGACAGCGCAAGACAATCTCAAGACAGTCTAAGAGGCCCACAACACGGCCCAAGAAGCCCCCAAGACGCCTCAAGAGGTCTTCAGAAGGGCCCCCCAAGAGGCACAAATATCCCCATTCCCTCAGGAAAACGAACATTTAAAGCATATTCAATTTTGGGGGGGTCGCAGCAACGCTCACGACGGCCCAAGACGCCTCCGAGATCGCCCCAAGACAACCTAAGAGGCCACCTAGAGGATTTCAAGACAGCCCAAGAGGGCCCCAAGACTGCCCCAAGACAGCCCGAGAGAAGCTCACGAGGCCCCCAAAGGCTCCCAAGAGAGACCCACGAGGGCCATGGGAGGTCCCCAGGAGGGCCCAAGATGGCCCTAAGAAGGTCCGTAGAAGCCCAGCTGGGCTGTCCTGGTGCCCTCTTGGGCCGTCTGGAGCTCCTTCTGGGGGCCCTCTTGAAACCTTTGGGGCCCTCTCGGGCCCCTGTCGGGCCGTCCTGGGCTCGTCTTGGGGCCCTCCTGGGCGCCTCTTGGGCCGTCCTGGGCTCGTTTTGGGGCTCCCTTGGGGCGCCGCCCGTTGGGCCCTCCTGGAGCGATCTCGGGGGCCTCTTCGCCCGCTTCCGAGCGCTCCGGAGACGGCCCCCGCTCCCACGCGGTGCGGTGCACAGTTACTCTGGCCCTGGGGGGCCCAAAAAAGCGGCGCACCGCACCGCTCCTGCCTGGGTCGAGGCGCGAAGACGGCTCGGGAGGCGCCAGCGCGGAACGGTGCATACAGTCAGGTCGGGCAGTGCCTCCTACAGGCGGATTTGGAAGAGAATCACAGACAGATTCCCAAATTATACAAACATGATCAAAACACAGATTCGTTCCAGACTCTTTTTTGACTATTCTTGGCGATACCGCCCGTAGAGGGACGGGCCCGACTGAAGCATGCAGGTCGTCCGCGGACGTCGGAGACGTGGGATCTCATCGCGGCGGCGGCCCCGGCGACACGGTAATTACATGCCCTGCGAGCGGACAGCGTGGGACGCTGGCGCCTGGGAGTGGGAGAGTGGACAACGCGTCGCACCGAAGCGCAGTGGGCCGGAGCTGGCCGAGCGACAAGGGGCACGCTGAGCCAACGTTGGAGGCGGCCAGAGGGTCTGGGCCCCAGGACACCGGCCAGGAGGGGGGATGACGCGAACTCCACTCAAAAGGGGCCCCTGGACCCCTCCCGGGGTCTGGCTGCTGCCATGTTTCACCACGGCTCCGCGTTTCACAGTCCCGAGGCCCGAAAACAGATCCGGAGGCCCAAGCAAGGAAAAGACCTTCCCGAACGCAGACCTGCCCGCCCTCCCCGCTCGCCAGAGCCACTGCTGGGCCACCTCACACCCCCAGCTGGCTCTAAAGTTCGAATCCCCGGAGGATCAGCGGGGGTGGCGGCCGCGGCCGCCCCCTCTCTTGCTGACGCGCAGAAGGGCACAGGGGGAGGGGGGAAGGCTTCTCAAAGGGAGGCTGCTTCCTACAACCCTCGTCAAAATTAACCTCAAAAATGTCTTACGTGGCTGAACTGTCTGCGGGGAGATATTGGACAGAGTAGCGATGACTGCGAGGTACTTGTATGCGCCACCCCTCCAATGTCGGTCATCATCGAACTTCCGAGTCGTTCCCGGTCAGACCTCTTTTGCCCCGGCCCCGACATTGGAGGGGCGTCTAGCAACATTGAATGGCGCGCCGACATCGCAGGGGCGTGATCGCCATCTTTGAGGTTAATTTTGACGAGGGTAGCAGAAGGCGCCCGCCGTACGTCTATGGATAAGCCCCGCGCCTTCCAAGAAGCAGGGTGCTTCTGGGAAGCCTTTCCCCGCCCCCCTACTACCCTCCTCCCCGGGCCCCCGACGTCACGAGTTTGTCCATAACGTCGACCCCCGAGGTCTCCACCCATGCCCTGGGACCGGTTCTTCCTCCCGAGTCGGTTTCTAACGGTTCCGACAACGGCGAAAAGCCTGCCGCCACGTGCGCTTCTCGGGTCGGGCGAAAGGGGGGGATAGCAAAGGGGGGGTTTGAGAATCAGCTCACGTATCTGATTTTCCTGGCGCCTCCCGGCGCCAGAGGCGGCTGTGTATCGAGGAATGGGCCCCTGGGTGGGGCCGAAACCAGCTGCATGCAGCAAATTTCGTACCCCCCCCCTTTCCCAATCTCCCCCTTTCGTCCGGCCCGAGCTTCCTGACCATTTGCCCTGCGCCGAGGCAGCGCATGATCAAGTCTGGGTCCTGGGCGGGCCCGGCCACAATGGAAGAATCCGTACGTATCTGTCTGCACCCCTCCCCCACACATGCAGGAAGGGGCACGCGCGGGCGTGGATGCGGCAGGTCCGTGTCCTGGCGACCCTGGCGCTGGCTTCTGACACCGCGTCGATCGTCCAACCTGGAACGCTCGGCGGCTTCCCGATCGCCCGATCGTTCCCTGCAGGCCGACTCTGGGCCACTGGCGGCGCTCGGTCGACACGACGCGAACCTGCCGCACGTCTCCTGGCGGATCGCGCCGCGCTCGTGCCCTATACTCCGTGGGGGCTTCCGGGTCTGCGCGTGGCCGAGGCCCCCCTCCCCACCGGGAAGTCCACGAAGGTGTTCCGCACGCTCACGGGCGACGCGGCCAGCTCGGGCCTCGGCGGCCGCGCCCCCGGCCGGGGAGGCCCAGCCAGAGGGGCGCGCCCCGCGGAGGGCAAGTCAAGAAGAAGCTGCTGGCCGTCCCCGCGGCGCCCAGTGCGGTGGGGGCAGCTTGTATCTCCGCTGGTCCGCGCAAGCGCGGGCTTCCCTGCAACAATACATCAAACGTGTGGCTGACCTCAGCACCACTAGGTTCGCGGCTCATATGAAGGTGATGGTCAACTTCTTGGTGCCCTCTTGCACACAGTAGGGACAATGGGCAAGGAACCCTTAGATAAGGAACCCAGGGTCTGGAAGCTGGGGGGACTCCCATCAAGGATCGGCCACGGCTATCAGATCACACCGCCCTCATCAGGTAAAGCCCTCCAGGGTCTGCGGCCTCCTGGACACATTCCTTCACGAACGCCCCCACCGTGGTGCGTCCAATGGCGCGCCAAGCGGGCGTGATGCCTCTCCCTCGTACGGCGCCATCGGGCGCTGTTGGGCGCCATTTGGGCGCTGTTTGGCGCTACTGAGCGCTACTGGGCGCTGTTGGGCGATAGCTGGGCGCTGTTGGACGCTATTTGCCGACACACCTTCAGTGCAAGACGGGCGGAACCTCCCGTGACTTCCTATCGAAGGAAGGGACCCAGACCATCTGGCGTTTAGAACAAGCTCGAGACGGAGGCTTCTCACAGAGTCGTTGGCCTCTCGGGGCCCTGACCAGGCCTCAGGGTCGTCAAAGAACGGCTCGGGGGGAGGAGGAGGAGGAGGAGGAGGAGGAGGAGGAGGAGAGGAGGAGGAGGAGGAGGAGGAGGATAGGATAGGATGAGGAGGA